GCCACATCTCATTCCGGTTCAGAGAGTGCCCACTGAGCCCAGGCAGAAACCAAGGCCGAGCTCCAGAGACCAGCAGTGCCTGAGGTTTATATCCTCCCAAATCCGTGCTGACGTCTGCCACGCGGATTGGGCACAGGCAGGGCCAGGGGAGCTACACGCTTGTGTTCAGCTCTTCCCCGTCACAGCCAGGACAGTCTGGACCCAAGGTTCAGACAACACACAAGCCTAGAGGGAGAAAGAGTGTACGTAAAACTCATTTTGGCCAACTCACTCGTAAACTCAAGTCTTCACCTCAAGTGTAGAAGTACCGGATACGAGTAGCTTTAGACCCCTTCTTATCCCAAGGAAAAAGGCAAAGTTTTCAGCTACAACAGCTCATACACAACAGGTAACGTGCCTTAAAGTAGTGACAGTTCGTCCTGGTTTGGACCCTAAAGCTGTAATTTGCCAATAAATCCAGATAGCATTTTTGAAAGTGTGCCTTCTCCTCAGTGCTAATGTACCTCAGATACTTCTGAGAAAGAAACCCTTGCAAGGGTGATTGAATAATCATCTCCCTAAGAAACTGTTTCCTGAGGCACCAAAAGCTTGTGCCCCAAATGTTGTGTTTCTAACCCTTCCATAGTCATGCTCATTTGGGCTTTTAGCACTTCTAAAATTCTCAATTTCTCATTCTGCAACTGTCAAACCCTTTTGGAAGGAAGCAGAGTTACCAAAGGCAAGGGCAACATTCAAGCAGAGACAGTGTCCTGCTCAGGCAAAGTATTCCAAGTACTCCCCTGCTTCGGTTTGGCCTCCGTGACCTCAGATTTTGCCATTTTCCGCCATCCCCACAAGCTGTCAAGCACTGAACAAGAGTGCATCACTGGTGGCCCGCACACAAAATGCAGAAGACATGTTCTTAATTTCTAGTCCTTGATTAGAGCAGGTACGAATATGTTATATGCACCACATCAAAGTGCTACACAGACAAGACTTGAGCAGATAATTTTCTTCTTGAAATAAGCGTGCTACGCCTCTTCTGCTAGCACTGGTATCCGGCGATAGAAAGCTTGGGGGATCCCCGCAACAGGATCTGGAAGACAGACTGGAAAGCATCTAACAAAGTAATGGAAACAAAGAGTCCCTAATCAAACAACCTCCATTGCACATCAAGGATGTGGGGGAACAACAACCTCAGCAGGAAATGCCGAGGAAAAAGACTTTCAAATTCTGAATGAGACTGCGTTCATCGATGGTGGAAAGTAGACAGAAGCAAGGATGAGACAAAAAGAGGTATTATTTTTCTGTGGTACCACATGCACCTCCAGTAACAGTGACAGTAGCCATACTTTAAATGCACTGCTCCCTCTGGGTGTGTGCAGTAATCCATAATTAATATAATTTTTCTCTCCTGTTGTTATACTACACAGACTTATGATCACGCTCCTGGACATTTCTGCCTAATCTGCATTTAAACTGGATCTCCTCTTGCTTGTCTTGCTCACCTTCTGTGCCCTTCCCAACCCTTCTTCCTGTAAAACTGTTCACACGAGGGAAAAAGGCATGCTTTGAAAACAAAAGCATATGATGTGGCCAGTTCTTGCCACCCTTGTCCATCCTCTGTGAGTTGCTCCCACTCTCAGCTGTGTATCTTTTCTCACACTGCTTCCTTACTCCCTTCTGCTCGTGTACCAGTCAACACCTTCCACTCCCATCCCTCTTCAGGGCTCGCTCTTGCTGTCCAGCCTTCAGATGCTTTTGTCCTACTGATGATGTCTACCCCTCCCTTCTCATCCCACCACATTTTTAAATATCAAAACCCATGAATTTTGCTTGTGCTTCTTGTACTCCTGTTGGCTTACCGTGTTCTCTGCTTCACCTCTCTCTTTTTTCTACTGTTTCCACATTCTCTGTTTGTCTAATTTACTCCATGAGTTATTTCAAGGCAGAAACCATTTCTCTAAAGCATACTGAAAGTTAAGATAATGTATATATGGTGAAGGATGGCTTCACAATAGCTTTCTCTGCTGTTCCCTCTAAAAATTTACAAGCTTTACGACAGCTTGTACTTCCATGCTCAATAAACGCCCATCATAGACTCAGCCATCTCCCTATCACAGGATAGACACTTTCCTTTGTCCCTCTACCCGCTTCCCTCTCCCTCATCGGTAATTTCCATCCACTTTTATCTACAAACGATTTCAGACTGTTATGACTGTGCAAAAGAAAAGCATTCATACCCCACAGAAGAGGAATTCCGTGAAAGAGGTGTCCTTAATTTTTCCTTGACCTCATTCAATCCTCAGTAAGCTGTCTTGAAACAATTTTATCTTTACCCACTTCACTCAAAGAGAATTTAAGAAACCGGGAGCAGCATATGGCCTATGAGACTCATAGGAGGTGTGCAGAATCGTCCCAAACAAGCATATTTTATCACATGAAGGAACAGCAAGCTGAAAGGCTTACCAACAGAAAGATATCCCTGTCAGTTAAAAGCCCGGGCGTACAAATCCAAACCAATGCACTGAGCAGTATCTCTTGTTAAGTCTGTGTACCTCTCACCGAAATCCTCAGCGTGTGGTCAGTTATGAATCAATTGCAACCCCTGTGGCTGCCACACGTGTGACCAGAGCGTATCTCACACCAGACATTCAACCGGACTGAAACTGAAACTGAAGATGCCCACGCACAGTGTGTGTCTCTGGAGAGTACCGTCGGATTAGGAGCTCATGAACTAACTACATTTTGTACTTACCTTTACACTTGGGATGCTTCGTAACCCTCCATAGTTCACAGCCTTTATTAAGGACAGGACCATCTTACAGCCTGAGCAGAGAAGCAAGCATCACCCCACCCTACTCATGGGCAGTCAGCGAGCATCAGAAATGTTACAGAAGATGACTACAGGTACCACTGGGAATAATGTAACATCTCTAAAACATCAGCCTAAGATTCTCTTTTCCAGAAAGAAACACCAACTTGTTTTTCACCCCACTCTGGGTAAAACGGAGCTATTCCATTTTCCTAGCTTAGCAAAGTATGGATTGACAGATGAACACACACATACAAGTCCACATCATCCATTAACTCCAGATATGTCTTAATTCTCTGTTTCCTGCTCTAATCACTTCATTATATGTTCTTCCCTTGGCCAGGGATGATGCAATTATATCATAATTTAACAAAAGACCGAACCGCAATGCATGTGCCAAAGGGGCAGAATCAAGGCTGAAAAAGCTATCTTAATTTTCATGTTGTCTGCCTGTGTCCTCCACCTTGCAATGTTCTTCTGCTACAGCAAACTCCTTCTTAAGCAGTATATTCTGGAGGAATAAAGGAGAGGAGTTCAGCATTTCCTAAAAATTTAACAAAAAATAAAGGTAGCTACATAATCTCGTGAGGATAAAATGTTACAAGCTCAGGAACTGTCCCAAAAAGTGTAAGAAACTGTTCCAGGGCAGCAGGTCAAGCTGATGCAAATATTGAAATGACAAAATAACAGAGGAGAAAAGAATTTTTCTTCTCTGAGTACAGAAAGTAATTTAGAGAGTCCCAATGTCTGAAGAAAAAGTAGTAATAGTGTTCTTAAGTTTAACTTTCAGTATAAATAGCAATGTACGTGGTAGCAGTCCACTGGGAAAGGTGCTAATGCCAATATCTGGCCCCATGTGTAAATACAGGAAACTCATCTTTTGCAGGGAGTAGCTTATCCAGTAAAAGTTAATGAAGCTATGCAGAGGTAAGTGAGGGGAAAATCTGTCCCGGATATTATGTGTTGATATTAGTTCTTCCAAAATTAACGTTGAGAACTGAAACGCTGCAGTTTTGCATGAAACAGTTAACAGAATCCGACTACTGCATTTTTAAATGAAATTTTCCTTCCATATTTTTGTAGTTACACTAAAAGCAGCGCCTGCCGTACGTACATATATAGCACATATATTTGCTTCTGCCTATTTTTAGTAGAACCGAATCTGTCTGAATGTCTTCGATATAGCACACGGTTTTCTAATTCCAGGTTGGAAAGCCCTCTTTCCGTGATGGTTTCTAAATAATGGTATCCGTGTGTTCCACATTATCTTAGAAACTTCCTCATGTATTTCCTCAGCCTTCCATATTTAATCTCACTGATTTATGCACATGCCGTGGTCTAATGACCCACATGTCTCTGATGGGTAAGCCGCTAACGCCAGCGACACATTAACCTATTAACCTCTCTTTAAAAATAACCATGATATTCATACAAATAGAGTGAAAAAGTCAGGCAGCAGTAAAACAGTAGCATTGTGGTATCGCACACCGACGCGGTGTATGTCTAAGCCGGCTAAAATGAAGAACAAACGAGCATATCAAGAGCGAACAGCAGTTAGATTTATTCTATTGCCAAATCATTTTGCCACAGTTTGCTGGCCTGCGAATTTGACAGCCTGCTTTAGAGCATTATCCGTATTATAAAATGTAATCGGGAGGAAGATCGCTATTCCATTCCCTCATTTCTTGAAAGCTGTTATACAGTTTGGGGACCCTATCCTGGAAGGAACCGAGAGCTCCTTCCGACATGGAAATTGCCTTCCAAATCCCACTGAAGACAATGGGAGCGGGGGGCTCTGTGCACAGGGCGAGGAACATTCATCACCTTGGAGAAGGCACTTTGCGCGGCTCTCGCTGGCGATCCTCGCAGTGGAATAAACCTATCATTTTAAAAAGCAGTAGGAGGCATAGACAGCAATTTTTCAGGGAGAAAATAAAAAATAAATGACCTTTTCTAAATATTAGTTTTAGAAGAAAAACAAGTCTTTCCAACAGACTGTAAACTTTATATTGGATGTCTTTACTTTGCTCTACTTTAAAACCACCGTATCCCTCAAGATAGAAGAAAAACGCGCTGCTGTCACGCCGAACCAATTCACCCACGCCGAAAGTGTACTACGCCAGCATACACTCATGCATAGGATGGGCAGGCACAAGAAAGCGTCCTCCTGCCACGCAACCAAAGCAGGAAAATAAGAAAAAGAAAAATGCCTCAACGGCTCATTCTGCGCACACCGCGGAGCGTTTTGCCCGCCTGCATCTCACCCAGCGCCCACCTACCCAGCAGCCGGCAGAAGGTCGGACGGAGAGACCCCCCCCCCTTCCCCGGGTTTGGGCTGCAAACCCCCCTTCCCCGGAACAGCGTGACACCGAAGCAGCAGCAGCCCGTGGGAGCGCCCACGGGGGTCGCGCTCCCGGTTGCCTACCCGGGGCGGCCGGCGCGCACCTGCCGGCACGGCAGCCTCCGCGGCGGCGGGGGGGGACGACGACGGGGGACACGACGAAAGCCGAGAGACGGCGGCAAACTCCTTCCCTTTGCCTGCAAGGGGGGCCGGGGGGGACTCCCCTCGATCCCCCGGAGAAGGACCCGGGGCCGGCGCCGTTCCTTTGTTTTCCAGCGGGGCGGCCGCGCTCAGCTCTCTTCCACGTGTACGCGTGGGCTGCCCGCAC